CGGGCGGAGTCGGGCGGGATGGCAGCCAAAAAACTAGAACCCCACACATAGATGTAAGGACTGGATAACCCCACATGTTGAGCTGGTAAGAACTATCAACGAGAAGTAGAGACTGATAAGGAAAAAGCACCGAAAGATACAGGACGATAAAAGTGAATTAGATGAGTGGTGTGTGAAGAGTGGTGTGTGATGAGCGGTGTGTGATGAGTGGTGTGAGACGAGCGGTGTGAGATGAGCGGTGTGTGATGAGTTCTGTAAGATGAGTGATGTGTGGTGAGTGGTGTGTGATGAGCGGTGTGTGATGAGTGGTGAGTGGTGTGTGATGAGTGGTGTTGAGTTGTGTAAGATGAGTGGTGTAAAATGAACATGGTGTGAGATGAGTGGTGTGTGATGAGCGGTGTGTGATGAATGGTGATGAGTGGTGTGCAATAAACGTGGTGTGAGATGAGTGGTGTGTGATGAGTGTTTAATGAGTAGTGTGTGATGAGTCTGATGAGTGGTGTTTGATGAGTGCATGGTGTGTGATGAGTGGTGTAAGATGAGTGGCGTGTGATGAGTGGCGTGCGATGAGCGGTGTGTGATGACTGGTGTGTGATGAGAGGTGGGTGATGAGTGGTGTGTGATGAGTTGTATGAGATGAGTGGTGTCTGGTGAGTTGTGTGAGATGTGTGGGATGTGATGGCGGAGGGCAGACGCTAACAGAGCGGATCGTAATACCGGAACCGACAGGTTTACCAAAGCAACCCAAAAGATGCCAACATGCCCAGTGGATGATGCAAAAGATGCTAGTATCAACCGTTGCGACATCACCAACGCCATTATAGCGCAGCATTTGGCCGACCAATTTTGATCGCTTTTCCCAGCAGGCTCTGACCCTTCCACTTTTTGGACCTATCTCCCCCCACACTCCCAAAACTCACCTCGTTCGCTGTTTACCAAAATTACCCATACCAACTTCTTCGCCTTGGTTCCGCGTTGTTTCATTTATGCAAAGCCAAAGCAAACTTGTTGCTACAACGTTTGGAGGGTGCAGTGGCCGAATACTTCACAGCGTTGATGGCCTTGATTTCATGCCTAACCGTTGCCCACGAGGAAACGCAATACCTCTTTCCACTTAACTTATGACAATGAGCGTCTCCTGTCTTCATCATCACAAACAGACTTTCGCCGCTTTGCCTATGCTGCTTACAATCTGAGAGCTCGGACCAAAGTGTGGCGACCTTGGCCTCCAAAGGGCACACACAAATGGCCGACCCCACAAGTAGTCTAAGACTGAGAAAATCATCGTCTATTCGTCTATCCAACGCTACAACTTGGGGACCACACCCACATTCCACCAGCTGCCTTTCTGCCTTGATGCTTGGGTTTGGCGTCCGGGCCGTGGCAAGAAGCTTAGCCTCTTGATGGAAAAATTGTCCCGGCGCAGAAAGCAACTTCGTGAAACTTTTCAGGGCACTTTTGTGAGGCTCTATGACCTTCTCCCGCCAACCGTGCCTGGTAGACTTGCTTGATTGTCAGGCATATTCGACGGCATGTTCGACGGCATGTTGGATGGAGCGTTAGCCTCCAAATCCACCGTCTGCGCGTCAGAAGAATGGCGCAAATCTCCAAAGGCATCGAGCCCTGGATTGTTGTTGTCAAGGAGGGCTGATCCTGGTAGAACCTGGGCGTCGTTGCGGAGATAGACATGAGCGTTTCTGAGCGTCCTGGCGTCAATCTCCAAAACCTTCTCTGTCAACTCAAATGATGGAGTGGACCTCCAACTGGCAAAGATCGGCAATATATTTGAGCCGCAAGTTAAGTTTCCTCAAAAAGCTAGGAATCAAATTAAGAACACAGCAACGGATTCTTAAAAAAAGACCACCCGCCCTCAGGTGGGGGGAGCTTCCTTGAAGAAGCCTGAGTTTTGCCGCGTTGCTGCTAGTGGCTTCCTTTTGCTAGCTATGGCCAACTCCCCCAAGAAAAAACACATATGCATTTGGCCAAGCATGACTTAGGCACTTCCGGAGTGTCAGCGCCAGCTTGGACTTGGTTTCCACCGCGCAACTCTCACCACGAACTATGGCCACAGCGGGTTTGCCTGGTTCGCCTCCCACTTGGGGCTGGCAAAGGAGCATGTCAGTCTTGTCAGCGTCATCTCCCCATGGCAGAACATGCCAAAGCGTAGCCGACGCTGATGCTTGGCCCCTTGAAGGTGGGCCAACTCGGTGCTCAAGGCGGACGAGTGCTGGGCGTTTTGCTCGCCGACCTTTTGCCATCTCCACGAAAATGCAGAACAGAAGGAGGGCAAGGGGTGGCAAGAAAAAACACAGCAATGCCTTGCACATCAACGCCTTCTCGTCTTCATTGAAGCTCTCGTGGTCCAGTTCACTCCACACATATACATTGGAGCCCGGCTTCAGATTCTCAACTTGGAGGGTTAAAGAGGCTTTGGCACCGTCTTGAGACTCGGACTCCACCTCAAGGGATGATCCTTCAGGCAGTCGCAAGATTGTGTGACGATTCTCCAAATGGAATTCTGCCACTCTCTCGTCTAGTGATTTGACCTTCAAATTCAATCGAAATTTCTCATTCTCCTCCGACAGATTGTGAAGGATAATGTGAAATCGGCTGTCGGCCTTTTTGGTAGGCTCCCCCGGCTCTGTATCCAAGTCCGCAAGGGCATTCCAGGTGTGAAAATCCTCAAATGAGGCTCCTGGTACATGGAAAATGGTCTCGTACCACTGCACCAAATACGAATGTCTGTTGCTGAAGTCCGCCGCATCGATCTTTGTCTGCGGTGGTTTGGCCTGCCGTGCCCACGGACATACTTGAGCCACCACTTTCGACCCTGGGACGGGACAAACCTTGATACTGTGAAACGCTTTGATTGCTGTGTAGTTCTCTGTGGGATCGTCTACGGGCAGCACGTGCCAAAAGTCCATGTCTTTGCAGAACCCATCAGTGATGCAAAAATGGTAGACGCTCCAGGAAGCTTTGGTTTCCACAGGCGGTCCAAACTCTGCGTGAAAGCCCTTACTTCCGCTTGGCACCTCAATGCAAAAGGGCTCACATTTTGCAGCTGTAGAACAAGCAGCATGATGAAGGGAAACAACTAAGCAACCAGCCTTGTCACTTCCGACATGCAAAAACAACCCTAAGGCATGAGCGCGCGACTCCAGCCTCCACCCTCGGATCCAAGAATAGAACACGCATGTTTTTTGCGGTCTTTGAGGGCAGCTTCGGGCTTCAAGTGAAGCGTTTCTGCATCAATTTTTGCACGTCAATGTTTGCCAGGGGTGGACAGTGTAGTAATTAGCAAGCAACTATGACTCCAACATTTTCAGCCATAACCAACCGTTGTACAGCCAATACTGTAAATGACACGCTCTTGTGCTATCTGCAATGACGGCATTTACAAATCTTTTCGCCTCTGTTACGCAAACGAAACCTCCCCCCACCCAGGTTTTCTGTTTTGTTCATTGAAAAACTAAAAGCCCCTGAAAAATATCGAGCTCCAGTAGCAGTCCCCCGAAGTACATCAACAGAAGCACGGGTCCAATCGCAAAATTTCATCGGGCACAAGGAACAACACATAAAAACATACTATGCGCGAACGGACAACAAAAACACCAGCAGCAAAAGGTTGCGCCAGACTCACGCGAATTTGCGCCGTGCCCTGGTTTCAAACACTCAACGCGCACATTTAGAGACTTTGAAGCAATCGAAGTTGTAGGCATTTTTCTTACGTGGGATACGCCTACATCTGTGTACACTGACATATACACACAGAACTCCACATACAAATATCCACACAAAGTTTTACGAGATGATGACGACGATGATAATGATAATGATGACGACGGAAAAGAAGAAGAAGAAGAAGAAGAAGAAGGAAAAGAAGAAGAAGAAGAAGAAGAAGAAGAAAAAGAAAAAGAAGAAGGAAAAGAAGAAGAAGAGGGAGGAGAAGAAGAAGAACAAGAAGAAGAAGAAGAGGAAGAAGAAGAAGAAGAAGAAAATGATCGCGGTGACGTTGAAGGTGATGATGGGGAAGATGAAGTTGGTAGCTACAGTAGTAGCTCTTCTTTGAGGAGAACGCTTTGTAGGCGCTTTCGTGAAGAAGCGCCGCGCAAACAAATACGATGCCTTCCAAAGTCTCCAAAATGAGTGTTTTGGACAAGACTGAGTGAAGCGGGCAGGCTCATCAGAGCTCGCGCGTCCCCGCAGCCCTGCCAAGCAGTTAGACCGCAGACCTGCCAGTCAAATCTCCACCAAAACTGTGCACGCCTGGAAAATGGCCTCCAGCGCCAGCAACCCCAACATGCACAAAGCACTGCGCCTGCCACAAAAAGTGACAGTGCCACGAGCTCGGCGTGGCTTCCACAGCTGAGACTTCTCTCAGAAACAGCTTCGGCGGAAAGCCTCCAACAGCAAATCCCAATGGCACCGCATCCAAATTTGCCTAACACGCCTGCGCAGTAAAACACTAAGTTGACACTTGGACCAATTTACGTTTACGCGCTATTTCGCATGAATCTGACACGCCGTCCATCCATCCATCCATCAAGGGCCACGAGCGGTTCAGGCCTTTCCACTGCCCAAGTGGGAGGCTGGTGCGGGTCTCCCCTTTCGAACATGTCCTGCAGAAGATGCAGAAGATGAAGACCCTGCGCCAGACCGACCTGCGTTACATATACTTTGCCCGCAAATGCGGAGTGCGACCTGTACGGCATCTCTTCGACCAGCGCCTCCTCACAGTGGAGGAGGTGGTCTCGGTTCTGGCTTCGAAGGAGTCCTCCACAGTGGCCGTCCAAGACTACTCAGTGTATGGTGTGGACCACGATAGTGAACACTTCTAGTCCAGCATGGTTACAGGCTCGTCTAAAAGCTTTCTTCCGGGCGGATCTTACAGGGTCCTGCTGGAGTCTTTCGCCAGAAGGTGTGGCTGTGTTTGTGAGATCGCGTGGCTCACATGACGGTTCAGCGCCGTCGGAACCCTCAGGCCACCAGGGAGCAGCGTTGGGATTCAACGAAGTGCTTGTCATCGTGAGCAGGAGCAAAAACAGTGTTTAGTGGCCAGGGACTTGGGACCCTGAATCTCTCTTCGGTCTCCGGGATCGTTGCCCGCGCGGGAAGGACAATGGCGTCGCGACATCGTAGATTTATATACTGTACAGTGGAGGCGGCCCCACACCAATGGATGCACCTGGACCTGGTCATTCTCACCGAGTCCCACTGGCAGTCTGACTTGGAATGGCAGGACCCTGTTTGGACCTGCGCGCACTTTGCCCCCAATACCAAATCTCATGCAGGTATTGTCGTAATGATCAATAAGAAATAAGAAACTCTGCCAGAGTTCTGACATCTCAAGTGTCCACATTAACCCAGGCCGCCTGGCCCATGTTCGTATCCATGCTGCACCACGCCCAATTGGTGTCATTGCAGTGTATCAATATGCAGGCATGGCCACCTCCACTGTTTTGCGGAATAGACACACACTCTGGACAGATCTCGATATCATACATACGTCGCCTGCCTCATCGTAACATGTTGATTTGCACAGGAGACTTCAACTGTCACCTACCTGCAGTACCACACTTGGCTCCTGTCTCTCGATTTTATCCACACAGGTCCACGCATGTTGCAGCAGATACGCACTCAGACTGTGATGCCTTCGTTCAAATCATCAAAACCACCAGTTGGTAGGACTCAATTGCTTCGACATGCGCTTGGGCACTGCAACGGTCAGGTTTCCTCCAAGATTGATTTCACCTTTACCCGCAGTATCTGTGTCGACAAGCAATCTAAAGAATTTCGACATCACCAGGACTTTCCTTGATAGCGGATAGCATCAGGTTCCATGTCCCCGTGATCGGATCACGGCCCCACTGCGCTCAGAGGAGGTCTTTCAGCACTTCGTGGACCAGCGTGGCTTCTTGGATACATATGGTCCGTTGTTCACAGGGATGTGGAACAAACTCCACCTTGCTCATGCAACATTTGTGACACCATGCGTGCGCCCTATGTGACATCCAAAAACCCCGGTTGGCCAAAGATGTCCATGCTGTCTTTCGACTGCTCAAGCATCAGTGCCCGATCATTGTGCAACTGGCCCACCTGTGTTCCGCCGTGGTGCTCGATTTCATCAATGGCCGACGCGGAAATGCCGGTCTCCTTGGATCTGTCCACCCAACTTCAGGCCACGATGGGTGCACTGGTGCCAATGCTGCTGCAACAGCGGACACCAAGCGGAAAAGACCGCCTGGGGGAGAAGAGACAACGCACCGAACCTCAAGAAGAACAACGGCAACCAGAACTCCACAAGATCAGGCGCACTGTCATTCAGTTGCTCTTGAAGCGCGAGGATCAGCTGCAAAGCATCAACAAGCCACACCCGGAGAAGCTGGCATCCAACCAGCCCTGCTGAACACAACCGCCAAGTGGATGGAGGCGATGGAGAGCACCACTCCGACAACTCAGCCGCTGCGGATGCTGTTGGTCCAGACCATCTTCGACACCCTGATCGAACGAGTCACCAAGATCTCCAAGCTCGATCAGAACTCACAAGCTTGGCAACAGACCTTGGCCACCCAGGTCATCCTTGCGGACGGCACCTGGCCATGCTTGATGTGGAACCACAGCACGAGCAAGCTGGAAGTGAATCAGAAGCGACGTGGGCTGTCAATGAAGAGCCTTATGGAACTCCTGACAGCCATCCGGGAACACCTGTGTCGTCCACAGACCATCATGAGGATGCAGGCACTCCGCCCTCCAGTCAGCGGAGGCACCATCCCATGGAAGATGCAGATTGGACGCCGGGAGACCGAGCTCTACGATCTGCTCTACAAGCTAGCATACAGCAGCGCATGGCAACTCCTCCAAATGACCATGCAACCGCGCAATGCCAAGAGGCACAACAATGCCAACACTCTGCAGGAGAGGCTCAAGGACACCTCGAAGGGCAAACGCCACAAGAAGGGCAAGCGCAAAGGGAAAGGGAAGCCATAGCCCTGCCACCTGGTCGCAGACTGAACCTGACCGCTGCCCGCCGTGCACTATGTGAAGTCAGGTTGGACAATCCTTCCTGTTGGTGTTATCTGAACGCCACTCTCACAGGACTCCTGTGGATGCTGATGAGCAACCCTCCGCTGGAGGCTACTGTGGAGGAAGTTTGGGGTTGCCAGGCACACACCTGGCACGCCGTGCTACGTCAGATGGACTCTCCATCTCTGGTGGCACTTTTTGCACTGCCTGAGCTAAATCAGCTCATGCAGCTTTGGGACGCGAGTCCCCACACGCAGTGCTGCGCAGCCGAATTCCTTTTGCGGGTGCTTGAATGGTGTCAGCTCCCGCTATTGGACCATGCTTGGGAACAGCGCTTCCAGGCTGACGACAGCATTGAGGTGTGGGAAAAAGGTGGGCCGCTTAGCTTGCTGACCTTCAACTGGGTGGAAGAACTCGATTCACCCCAATTGGCCCTGCAGGACTGTGTGGATTCCTGGCACTACAACCTAGGAATGAGGGCAGGGTACCTTGCTCCTTCATGCTACAAATGCCTGCACCTCGACCGAGGCTGGCTATGTCATGAAGGAGCTGCCATCCTCCCGCGAGTGAACATGACCGCAACAGTGCATTTGCCCATCTTCCTGAACGACACGCTTCAGGTTCGATTGGAGGAATACATGACTGTTGCACTGCTCTCCATTTTGGCACTCTGAACAGCGGCCACTATGTGACCCTACTACGATGCTGGACCTCCCAGACTACACGAACACTGCAACTACCATAGTTTTCTTGCAGAAAGTGAGCTCACCAGTAGCAGCCCGTACACAGCAGCTTGAAAAGCTGATTTTGATGCTGCGGTCAAGCTGAATGACCATGTACAACAGCCGGGACCCTATAGACAAGGATAGGGTTGCGCAACAAGCTTACCACGCTTGGCGTCCTGCAAAGCAAAGCAAAAAGCATCCACCTGAGAAGCTGCAAAACGAAAGCCAGCGTTTTTACTTTCGAGTGTGCTTTCTCAGGCCACCCCCCCGAACCCCCCTTCTTACTCAGCTGGCGCAGGTATAGATACCCGGGGTAACTACAATGCAGTTACCAGGTATAGTACTTCAAGTTCCCTTTCCGTCAACCGCTCGATAACCTTTACACACGCACAGCAATCCACTGTATAGGTGTGTAAGAGGTATAGCAACATAGCATTTATACGGACCCAGGAGCTACAATTCTGTTGCCAGGTATCTCACTTCAATTTCCCTACCTTCCGGCTGCCCGTGATTTAGGCGCGCGCACGGACCCAGGGCAGCTACAAGGCAGTTGCCAGGTATAATTAGGGTAGCTACAATTCAGTTGCCAAGTATACTGCAGCCGACCGAAGACAATTGCATTTCTTAAAATCACAAAAAAGCACCTCCAAAACCTTCCTTCCGTGCACCCCTACACACCACCTACTTTCGAGTGTGCTTTCTCAGGCCACCCCCCCGAACCCCCCTTCTTACTCAGCTGGTGCCTTGCCTGGTATGGATACCCAGGGTAGCTACAATGCAGTTGCCAGGTATAGTACTTCCAGTTCCCTTTCCGTCAACCGCTCGATAACCTTTACACATGCACAGCAAGCCACAGCTTTGAAGTCTCATTCGTGCTTTGAACTTATATAGGTGTGTAAGAGGTATAGCAACATAGCATTTATACGGACCCAGGGTAGCTACAATTCTGTTCCCAGGTATCGCGCGCATGAGACTTCAAAGCTGCGGACTGCTGTACGTGTGTAAAGGTTATCGAGCGGTTGATGGAAAGGGAACTTGAAGTACTATACCTGGTAAAAAAGCTTCCCACAACGGAACGGCCATGCGGCACTCATGCAGCCGGTCGTGAACATATTATGGAACACTGCTCTACCGACCCCAGACCCGAGACTCGGGAAAAAGGTGAAAACAACTCTTCTCCTCCAGGCCACATAGAGTATCGAGCCTTTCGCAAGGCCTTCAGTTGAAAGAAGTTTTCGATACACCTTGGTCACCTTGGGGTCCTCCGACTTGGACACCAGCTCAATGGACGAGGTTTCTGGAAGGACCAGCTTGGCGATATGAAGAGGCTTCAACGTATAGTCAACGCACCTGAACGGGTTTGAAGGCCTCTTTTTTGAAACTCGTTACCTTCGCTTGCCGGGTGATTCCTCATCAAAAAGTGCTTTCATGCGGGGTAATTCCAAACGAAGCAACTGCTCTGAAAACCCGAAACACCGAGGAAGACAATGGCAAGGGTTTTCCTTCAAAACCCGAAACTGCCCAAAGGCTCACCATAGAAATCACCATAGAAGTACTCATTGCTAAGGATTTGATTGGACACGCAGGTCTCTGGTAATTTGGTGAACCAATCTCAAACAAAAACTGGAAAGCTTGGGCGTGGACTCCCTTCCTTCTCCCTGAACACTTTCCGGACGTCGCACCTTGAGGCGTGTATGACTTGGACTGTCAGTGTGTAAGGATCCTCCTCCAAGCACATGTTGTGCACCATGATGTGAAATCGCTCACTCGGAGCATCGGGCTCGGCGGAATCTGCCGCAGAACGGCGGAACCCGAGCGCCGAATCCGTCGCATGGGGTGTGAACCACGTCACTGAGGTTTTCCGCACTTAGGGTGACACACTGCTTCTGAGCTTTGTTGGGCAAGGAGCGTGAGCCATGATGCAAGAAATGCTGGGCCCCCCATCCCGACAATGAACACCCCTTTGGGGACAGGGTTTATGCATCGTGGCACGTGCTTTGGCCAAGGGGGATTGGGATTTGATGTCCTCTTTTGATATCATTTCTCATCCAATTTGTGCATCTCTGTTCACTCCCTGTGGGTGCACGCTGTCGTTTGGAGCTTGTGGTCCTGCGCCACTCGGCACTTCAGCACTGCGCACGCCGCGGGTGTTCAACACTGCGTCCGGGTGCTCCACAAGACCAAGAGCCCTGGTGTTTGAGCAACTCTGAAAACCTCTCACACACACACACAGCCCTCATGCAAAAAACACACACACATTGTACGCAGTGATGTAGGCATCTCCTGGCATTTTCGACACTTGACTGATGTGTCCGCACCTTGGAAGTTTCGAAGCATCCTTGAAGATAGATATCTTACTCACTAAATCACTCATACTTGTCCAGGATGCACTGAGTGATGGTGTCTTTATAAAACTGAAAGACATGCCAAGCATGCATTGATCAAAGCGCAAACCATTCGCAGCTTTTGAAGGTCTTCCCTCTTCACTTCTCTTCCTGCCTGGTGGATGTTCCTCGCCGAGCAACGCCCGCAGGAAGCGCTTGAAGGCCGCCTTTTGACGCACGCCCGTGTCTGGCATCGAGCTCATGAACTCTTCGATCCCAAGCTCACTCACATCTTTCCGCACCGAGGACCTCGCGAACCAAAAAAGGACGGCAATCGGAACGGCTTCGGGGGAGCTCCGACTGCAACACCGACCGCAGTGGTAGCTTCACCATGTCTACAAAGGGCATCGCTACGAACGGAGCAATAGGACGCTACTAGTATGATGTCTGGGTCTCTCTTTGGAGAACTCGAACCGTGACGAGTGGCAGGAATGCATCGGGCGGATCGCATGGCGGTCGCTCCACGTAGTCCATGCCCGCAAGGATCTCGGTGACCCATTCCTTCTCTTCGGTAGACTCAACGAGACTGTCCATCTTCTTTCGCAGAGAATTTGAGCAGCTGCAAGGAAAAATCGATATCCACTGGAAGAAGCATTCACAACAATTCCTCCTACATTCGCAACACCAGAATCCGATGACAGGAATTTTGGGAGCACAGTAAATGGATATCGTATTGAAGAACCCCAGCTTTCTAGGCCATCGCTAGGAGGTTGGAGGCCATCGCTCTTAGGTTACACTACATCTGTTCATCCTCCCTCCATCTGCAGTCTCTACAGCTGAGACACGGCTCCATACAAGCAATAGGTGCTGTCTGATGGGGAGCAAACTCGTAACTGAACAGCACTTTGCTGAAACTACATAGAGGCAATACGGATCAGGATGATGCATACGGGGATTCTGCATGTCCACTTAGTATGCACGTATATATACATATCATACAAGAGGAAACACATAGAAGCAATGACATCACGTGATAGCATGTGGATCCAGGTTGAACATAAACACAACCCGATGGCTTCATGGGTCTTGCCTCAAACAGGCACAGCCTGTGGCCACCATGGCTGCCATGGCCACCCTGCGCTTCTCGCAGTGTTCACACTGCCTTCAACAAAGAACGCGTCAAGGTTGCCGGAAAGCAATTGAAAGCTTAAAGCCTTTCAATCCATTGACGTGTTTAGTCCTAGAATCTCCATGATGAACGTTCTGTATCATGAACGCATGAATGAGACACATAACGCATGAATGAGACACATGTTTTGTCCCTCTGACTTTTGTGATTCTTGAAACAATGATGTTCGTCTCGAACATGCTCATGGAGACTCTGAAGGTCAACTCAATGAATAACAGTAGCTCTCTGATTGATCTGCTTGGTGAATGCTGACATTCTTTTGACCAATCGAAGCATGGCCCAAATGACTGCAGTTTCCAACTTCAACCTGTTGCTGCCTCTTTGAGGCCTCACTTCTCATTTGGATCCATGACTGCGGACTGCAGCTTAAGCCAAGACCATGACTGCAGACTTGGCTGTGGAAGATGAGAACGCCTATGATGCAAGACATCAGCGGACTGGCTGCCAGTGCTTCTGAACGGATTCACTGTGAACCTATTTTACTCCGTGATGCCATCTGGAATAGATGTGGCTGTGGCTTCTGGAACCTTGGCCTCAGCGATGTCGAAAAAAGACATTAAGGAACCTAATAGGAATGGCCTCCAACCTACTAGGATGGCCTCCACCCTGGAAGCGATGGCCTCCAACCTAATAGCGATGGCCTCACACACTTTGAAGCTTTTGAATACACAGGATGCGCTAAGTGGAGGACTTTGCCAGGCCTGAAAGACAGCGTTCTAGCGAGCTGTGTCATGTTTGGGAGCGTTTTATAACATTTTTGTCATGTGCAAACGGCTTGTCTGCTCAACCACCCAGAAACAATACACATTTACTTCAACAGTCGTTGGTTAGGTTTGCGATTGAGATGCGACATGAAAAACAAGAGGTTCCTAGAGGGGAAGTTGTGGGTGTGATGATCCACTAGGATCTCTGAGACTTCCACTCTGGCAGATCTGCGAACAGGTCATCTGCTGCCTGTGCCTGCGCCGTGGCGAAGAGGCAGAACGTTCGAACGGTTTCCACCAGCGCACAAACAACATCTAGGTTGGAGGCCATAGCTATTAGGAGCAAGGACGCTACGAACGGGGCTCCTGGCCTTACTACTGGGAGCAAGGACGCTACTAGGAGCAAAGGGCATCGCTACGAACGGAGCAAGGACGCTAGTAGGTTGGAGGCCATGGCTCAATTGAACATCCATCTCTCTCGCCTCTGCTTTGGGTGGCTTGGCCTTTGCCTTTGTGGCCTTCATGCGTGTGGGCGGCGCCATCAAACGCCATCCGGCCTTGGTCAGAAGTGTTGGTCGTTAGCTGTGCTGCTTCTTGATGGCCTCACAAACTATATTAGACCTTTCTTCCCTTTGATTGTTTCTACTAGCAATGGCCTCCAACCTAGCGATGGCCTCCAACCCAATAGCAATGGCCTTCCCCGTAAGGACTCCAGCGCCGTAGATATCTATGGTCACATCATGTCACATCAGGTCCAAGCGACATTGAGCTTGGGCAACTCCTTTTTCGGCCCCTCCTGAAATGGCGCACTGTGCTTTCATATCTTTCATCAGCTCAAGTGAACTCATTTGGAGAGTTTCTGCAACCAAATTCGTGATCAATCTGAAACATTTTGCGTCTCTTCTCTTCAATCTTCCATATGTCGGCATCCTCATCAGAAAGCGGCTCTTCCTTTACTTCTTCCTGCAAGAACGAACAAATCTAAGCTGGACATGCATCGCAGAAACACTTTGCAAGCCAAAGGCAACCCACAGTCGGTTGTGCCCGGCATGGGGCGCAAATCCCATGGGTCTTGCTGACGAAAACGACATGAGACTTGCTGAGACTTGCCTTCACCTTAATCTCTTCCTTGACTTCTTTCTTTGTCTCTATCACCTGGCAGCTTTTCGGATTTCTCCTCCCAGTGTGTGTTTGTCACTGTGTAAAACTTCTTGAAACTACAGCTTTTTTGGAAGGCCAGAAAAGAGAGGCTGATGCTAGGCTTCTGACGGGTGGAGCTGCAATGACACCGGGTGCAATTGTGCCTCGAAAGCCAAGACAACAATCCAAAGAAAGGACAAAGGAAAATGAAAGGACAAGGGAAGAGGGGAGAGAAAGGACAGTTTGTTTGGGAAGCTTGCAGTCAACTGATTCTTATTCCTCCTTGTTCGTTGCAAAAACATGTCGTTGCTGAGCTATTGGCTGCTCACAGAGACCGGAGCCTGGTGGCGAGACGGTGGCGAGACGCATGTGCCGGACATCAGAACACTACAAGAAACAGCCTCGGCCATTGAGTCGTCAAGCTGCCAGGCTCTGGCTCTTTCTTTTTGGTAGAGGAAACAAACTGAATCTGCACTAAAGCTACAAACAGTAAAAGGAGCAAAACAGTAAAAGTATAAGCTCGATTTCATCCTCTGATCTTGCCTTTGCCGGATTGGCACCGACACTCTGAGGAAGACCTCGGAAGTCCAACCAACAAGCTTCAAAGCGAACGAAAAACCTCTGACACCAAAACGAAGAACGAAGAAACTGCTGACCGTGGATGGAAAAAACTGGAATCAAAACGGTGCACAGCGGGGCTTACATTCCCTGATAGTCCGTCATCCATCGTCCATTCTGTTCGTTTTGGCGGTGCTAGGCGCCCCCTGCGACCAGTGCCAGCCTTGGAGCCGTTCAGGAACTTCGTGAGCATGGGCGATTGGCCTGGCAGAAGCGGGCGAGGAAGGTCTTCATCGTGAAAGACAAATGCACAAACGTCGGACCTGATAGAATTTCATGGTCGTTTTAGCTCTGGGTCATCCAACGACCATCAAGGACCCAGTGAAACATGGGGAGAACAATGAAGAGGATGACCTGGATGTTTTAGGTCTTCTTCTCCCCACACACTCAAGTGGTCTCAGCTTGTTTCGGCCTTTCTCCATGAGTTCCTTCACCATGAGCTTCACACCTCACCGGCGGCATCGATCCGCTACGTCCGAATCGACCGGTGGAGAACGTCGCTTGCTCCTTCGACAAAGAGCACTCTTGGAGCAGAAAAAGACCCAAGGGCAAAGCTTCTACCGTGCCACTCTGGTTTCAGCTTTGGCTAAAAGTTCAACCCCCCCAAAAGCTCCAAACAACTCGGCCAAAACGATGAGGCTCTTGCGCTCATGCGCTTTCGGTGGACCTTCCACCATGAGCCTCAGCGAACCAAAGCACACCGCGGCCTTCGCATGCCATGCGAAGTCACCGCGGCGCCAAGCGAACGAACTCCCGTTTTCCCGCAGTAACAGCTGTGGCTCTGGCGTTCGCTTTCCGGCCACCGGCTTAGAGGTCAGCTTCAACCTCGTTTTTGGCAGGTCTTTGAAGCAAGAGCTTACTGCAGTCGTGACAAATGGGAAGAGATGGTGCAAAGGGCACTTTGAAGAACCAAAGCGGTAGGCCGAAAGGAATTTCTTTCACATCTCCAGTGGCCTCCAACCTATTGGCTTCTTGTTCCTAGTAGTAAGGCCAGGAGTGCCCCTAGTAGCGATGCCCTTGCTACTAATAGCCATGGCCTCCGACCATCACAGAGTCGTTGCGAAGCAATTCTCAGGTCCGGACTGGTCTGCTTCGGCTGCCAGCTCCATGGACGTGAGATGTTTTTCCAGCACCTGAAAGCTCGGACCCCCAAAAAGAGTGGGACTTTTTTGATCGACCTCGTTCCAATACTAAACAGCTTTTGAACACTGATGAATCCCCCAGAAAGTCGGAAGTGACGAGCAACCGCTATGCTCATGCTGTTTTGATTCTTTCCAAGTTCCCCGGAACACGTCGCCCCAAAAACCATTTCAATAAAAAAGCAGCTGGTGGGTGACCTGCCGAAACGTCATGACAGAAGAGAACCCGGAAACGTCACGACACAGGACTCGCCATGGAGCCACCACGAAACCGGTCGTCTCGGCGGTCTGAGCGGTCGGTTTGCTTCGTCCGAAACGGTGCGCCTTGATGCCCGCGCACTCGGGCAACCTGACAGCAACGCCACACGCCGCGCGCACGTGGGGTTGTCATCCATTGGCCATTGGCCCTGACATGGAGTCTTAGAAGGTTGGAATCAGATCACCACTGACACATGCTGTTAGTCTACTTCCAAATACCCATTCTACACCCGGAGAAGGAAGAGATCTCGGTGAACTGACAAACTCACCCCCAAACACCCTGGCCAGGTTGGCCGCAGTTCTCCATCTGTCCACGTTCTCCGTCTAAGTTCCGCGCTTGATGAGAAGCTGCGTGGATGGACCGTCACCACCTGGAGAAGGTCCGAAGGTCCGGGGGACCTACAGATCGACGCCGGTATTTTCGATATACAATGATTGTAAAGATGCTATCGATGATCATCACTATTTTGGATATACGATGATCTCTTGGATATCCTATTTTCTATGATCATCTAAGTCTAAGAATCATTTAAAGATGTTTGAACACGGAATCAGAAGTCCAGTTGGTACCATCCCTTTTCGAACCAATCTCTTGACAACATCCGTTCGGCGTCACAGGATGGATCGCCCTAGGGTTTGGCCACATGGCCCAAGACCAGCATTCCTTCGTGGTGGAAAAAGGTTCTTCGAGTGGTGCTTTGGCCTTTGTATTTCAAGCGTCCCCGGTTGGAGGGCCCGGGTAGATCTTTTGTGGACCGCTTGGGTGGTCGATTCCGCTGTGTCACTTGCGACGTTTGGCGGTGAAAGCCACGTTTTTGGGGGCTTGGAACGCGTCCCTTGTTGTTGGACAAGGCAAGACTGGTTGCTGAGATGTCTGGAAAAATGCACGTAGGACGGGCCTTGGGGACCATCC